GATGCAGCTAAGCCAACTGAGGCAGCGAAGACAACAACAACAACAACAACAACAGCAACAGCTGGAACAGCAAAACCCGGTGATGCAGCTAAGCCAACTGAGCTAGAGAAGACAACAACAACAACAACAGTAGCAGTTGGAACAGGAAAACCAAGTGATGCAGCTAAGCCAACTGAGCTAGGGAAGACAACAACAACAACAACAACAGTAGCAACTGGAACAGGAAAACCAGGTGAATCAATACAATCAAAGGAACCGGCGACACCAAATCAACCACAACATCCAGATGGAACGGAGAAAGAAGCTAACCTTGGAGAATCATTACTGGAACAACAGCTAGGTGGAACACAACAAGTAGTTCAAACACAACAACCAGGCAATAAAATTGATAGTGATATACGTGGAATTTTAGAATATTATAATATCGCCGACACCGATGTTGTCGTACTCAATGATGGACCAGTACAGCGTTTAGTTCAAGTTAATCCTGAATGGTCGTTACCTCCGTATGTTCAACAAGACGCAGGCTTCCTTCAGGAGATACAAAGTTTGAATACAGTTTATTGTGCCGAGAAGAAAATCGTGTTTTTTTTAATTAGATCCGACAGTATCAATGTATGGTATAGCACAGCAACAGTTAGACCCATCATACATGATCAATCAAGTAGATCTTTCATTAGTAATAAAGTTGAAGTTCTAAAATATCTTGATTTTTTTTTGAGGAAACTATGTTTGGCGGAGTAGCAGGCAATACTACCTTCCTTCCTTCTGAAATATCTCTGGGAATGATGAGTAATGTAACAGAAGAAGCTGTTCAAGGCGCAGGAGTTACGTATTGGTCTAATGTACCAGCTGCGCTTCAAGGTCAAGTTGGTGATCCTGGATATGTCGAAGGTTAATTATTTTTCTTGTTTTATATGTTACGAGCTGCTTTGAATTGTCATCTGTAGGTTTTACGACGGTCATCGACGAAAGTCAAATGATGAGTGGTCTACCTCAATATCCACCACCGCCGAATCCTCCATCTTACTTTTAACTTTTTCAAAAAAACTTTTTTGCATCCTTTCTTTTCGCTTTTTTTCTATCCCAAATAAATCATTGTAGTGCTCACTCGAAA